TTTAATTTGTTTTAATTATTTTTTTGTATGTGGGAAGAGGTGGGGCGGCGCCCCTAGCGCCCCTATGGGCCGGCCGCCACTGCGAGTGATGCTTAAAGGCTGGAAGCTATTGCAGGACACTTTAAATGTGTATTTACCAGAGGTTATGATTTTTCATTTTTAACAATCTGCCAACATATTACACAGGCCTGAACAGTTGGTCCTGCCTTTTTTTGCCAAATTTCGACTTCAGCTGATTTTCATTAGATTGTTAAATTTGTTGGATTGGAACAGAGACATTTTCATAAATGTTATGGCTCTCACTCCTAACTTTCTAGGAGATCGAGTTAATTGAAATAGCAACCATGTTTAACGTCATGACAAATATGTTACTCATGATTTCACAAAGTCCTTTAGGCGATTTGAGCAGTTGTTAATTACCGACCTCATCGCATGTGGTTATGTTTAATCCATCACAGTGATGAGGCGGCTGAGGGTCACAGAGCATTATCCCCCAACACTTTACATCTTTCTGACACAAATTGAGTGCTGTCTTCTTTTGAACATAAACTCAATGTCAATCTCTGTCAGCCCACTTTGAATCCCTGTGCATGCTCATCATTCTGACCATCAGAATCCAAATATCACACACACTCATTGAGAGTACACGCAATGAAAATAACAATTCAGAGGCACACGCACACAAACAACCACACACCATTATAATGCCAGGGCATAGGGCCCATTTTTTTTGTCTTGTAGCCCTTTGTTTGGAAATATGTCCTGGTTGCACAAATTCGCCAAATGCATTTTTTAAACTAGCAGCCCTGCCTACAGATATGTGAATAGTTTGACATTATTTGTATTTGTCTCAGTTTTTTAAATATTTTATTTAAATGTTAAATGTTGACTTATCATATTGTATTCCATATTTTGGCCAGAACTCTCCAGCCACAATGTACCACTGCCTCTGGGATTATTTGTTTTCACATCTTAAACACAGGGCAGAACCCATCCTGCAGAGAATAAAGGAGGACCGGACCCGGGTGGTGTCTCCATCTTTCGACAACATCAAGTTCGACACGTTTGAGATCGAGGAGTACCCGCTGTCTGCTCAGGGCTTCGACTGGGAGCTGTGGTGTCGGTACCTCAACCCCCCGAAGTCCTGGTGGACCCAACGGAACCACACTGCCCCGATCAGGTACTGCACAGGGAGAAAAGTTGAAGATGAATGAGAAAAACCCTCACCAATATAATAATCCAGCTCTTCAATAGCACGGCCCAGTTAAAACACATCCATCATGATGGTTAAAGATTGCTTTGAGGCGCTTCAAAGGCTTAAAGTGAAAATCGTCTCAGCAACCAGAGCAGAACTGCTTGCTCAACTATATCAGCAGGAGGATAATACGTCTGTTATTGTCCTTCATGGCAGGCAGATCAATAAGAATAGATTTGGACAAAGAAAAGGAAGTTTGCTGCTCAATATTGTATTTCAGGAAGATGAATTTTTCCTCTTATTCATTACTCTATCTTTCTAAGTACTTTTTCTCAATTACAATTTGCCACTGGATTCACCCACAACAATGGGTTGCCAACCATTCTGGGGAGGGGGTTTGTCAATGTCCTCAGGCATGGACTTTTGTTAAACATGTGACATTTGGGGCTGATTTGACCATATATATTGGAGTTACAACATATTGGGTTTCACGGCAAATAATGTATCGCCATGGCAACAGCCATCATACTCACAGTTGGTATAGATTTCAGGCTAAATGGCTGCCACGGCAAGTTTGTTCCATGATGGGTTCGGGTGAGGGTTTATTTTATCCTGTTGGTGTTAGACATAGGAAAAATAGGCTTTGTGTTTATCTTCAAATGCCACGTATACCTAGCACATTTCATTCTGTATGTCTAAGAGGAAATAAAAGTTGGGTGCTTTTAGTTTTGAAAAGGGTTGGGGGGAGTGGCTCAGCTAGTTTGCCATGTCCAAGGCTAAGATCTAGGTGTGAAAAACGTTTTCGAGTAGTTTGAGTTGAAACCACTTGCTGTTGGAAAAAATATGAGCCATGGCAACAACTGTCAATGAAAACTCACAATAAGGATGTATATCAGGGAACATAGCCGACACCGCAAGACTGTTGTGGGAAAATATACGATTTTGAACTTTTACTGCTGAAGGTCTTCTGAAGGGACTGATCACATTTGTTATTAAAGTTTTTATTTATGAACATACATGGTACATAGCTCACATGGTACAGCATGCAGAAAGAGGAAGGTCAGGCTACAAAACATGTTAGTTAAGTGTTCCTGGTTAAAAAGAAAACAGAAAAATACAAAGGTGTAATGTGATTACCAATCAGACACTACAGCGATCATAAAATAAAATAATAACAACAACTGATGCTTGATTAGAATAATTGTACAAAGGCCCTTTTGTGAGAGTCAGGCTACTAGTTAGAGGTCTGGTAATCCACAAAGTAATCCCAACTCCCTAGAACCACAGGTCCTCTACCCCTCATTCTTGCCAACATAACCTCATATGATGCTGTTTCCCTCATCAGAGCCTTCCTTTCGTGACATGTTGGGATTGTGGGTGATTTCCAGTGTCTCAATATAATTCTGGCAGCTGAGGTTATCCATCCATTAAAACTGAATTTGCACTTTTTGTCAGTTTTGGAATTTCTGTTTTATCGCCCAATAGGCATAAACGCGGGGATAATGGCAAGGATATTCCTACCCGTGCCTCGAAGAATTCCAACACTCTTTGCCAAAACGGGTTGGCCATAGAACATTCCCATTGAGATGTACACATGTGCCCATCTCTTTCTTGCATTTCCAGCATGTGTTGGTATTTATTAGTCCTATTTTGAAAAGCCTAGATGAGTTTTATACTGAGTGAATTAACCTCTAGTTTCTTTAATATATTTACCGTTATCAATCAGAATCTGTTTCCAAGTATCTTCGTCAATCTGACAGTCAAGGTCTTTCTGCCAGATTATCCTCAAATGATCACATGTGCTGCTGGTTAAATACATTGATTTACTATACAATACTGACGCCTTATGGTTAAGTGGGTTTTGAAGTAAGTATATCCCTTCTGTTGCAAATTGTACTCTTGGGCTAATTCAGTAAATGATTTAAATATACCATCTTTATAGAGATTGCTTATTGTATGTATACCGTTGTCTAGCCATCTTCTCCAGAATACTGTTTATTTTCCTATTTTTACTTCTGAGTTTTACTAAAGTGATGCATATTGCTGTTTGTAATGTGAAATCTTGTGTATTTGATAAACCTTTGCCCAGACCTCCCTCGTGTTTAATAATTGGGTTATTGTCTCTCTCCTTATCACTTGACTTCTGGGATATCACAGTGGTGTGGCAAGAGCCTTTTAAATAGTGGCCCATTCTAAACCAGACATTGTCCCTCTCCAGTGTTTAGCTATCTTGACCATTTCAAAAGACAGGTTATACAGTCTAACATCAGGTAACCCCAGACCTCCTTTATCTTTGGGTGCATACAGTTTACTCAATTTAAATCTGGCCTTTCTTCCGGCCCATAGAAAATCTCTGATGAGATGTTCATACTGTTTAAAGATGTGATCAGGTATGCTGAGTGGTAGCATCATGGATATGCAGTGGCGGTTCTACGGGGTGGCACGGGGTGGCAGCTGCCACCTCAGAAAAATGCCTTGCCACCCCAGCTGCCACCCCAGTTGGCAGCTTTGTTTTGAAAGAAAAGTTGTGGTTCATCGGACATTTATGAGAGAAAATCTCTAATGTCCGAGTGCAAGTGAATGCAGCACAAGACGCGAGCCTTGTAACCCCTCCCCCCCCTGGCGCGAGCTTGGAAATATGATTGGCGGCGATTTCATTTGAACGGGGGGACAGCGCAAAACGAGAAGAATTTCGGATCCAAGTAGACGGAAGGAATGAGGTATTTGCGGTCAGGGTATGGCTGGGCTACAGCCATACCAAGAAATGGCTTAGCCCCACCATGAACAATGATGTTAAAGTAAGCAAAATAAAGTCCGCCAACTCGCGCGGAGTAAATTGCACAGACAGCAGTTAGTAAGATTGATTTCAGTAGCCACTTGTCTGGAAATACCGAAGACTAGAAACGGTTTTGAACTTTTGTCACGTAGTGATCGTCTTTTCAATAGAACATCTTTGATAATGTCTTCTGGCCAATCAGAATCACGATAACGGCGTGGTGTTGTTGCAGGAAGTCCCGACGGAGAATACTTTTGCTGTATTACATCTCTATGTACATCGATACAACATTACGTGTTGATAGAAATCAACACGTAATGAAATAAGACCCCACGGTTTGATGATTGATAGGTGTGTGGGCTGTCTTTCATTTTGACACACAGAACAATGGGGGCTATCCACCCTTATCCACAAGCGCTATATAAATAAAATGCATCATTATTATTATTATTATCCACAATTTAAAGTAATTCACACAGCCTCTTCCCTCTTCTCTCTGTGAGGAGCAGCAGGTTCAGCTTTCAGAACAAAGTAACCAAAAACTAAAATGGCATTCATTTTTTTAAATATGTCGTGGAGTAATAGATGAATTTATTTTTCTTCTC